ATATATATATATGTATGTATATATGAAAAATATATTAAAAATACAAGTAGGTACTCAAATGAAAGGTCTTGATAAGTGTAACGTCGGGATGAGCTTATATCTTTAAAAATGTCAATAGTTTTCAAAAAACAAGACCATTTAATTATATTAAATGACACTGTACTTTCTTAAATATTGACATTTTTAAAGATATAAGCTCATCGTGATGTTATACTCATCAAGAGCTTCCATTTGAGTACCCACATGCATTTTTTACATATTTTTCATATATACATATATATAATATATATACATATGTATAATATATATGAAAAATTGATGTGGGTATTCAAATGAAAGGTCTTGATGAGTGTAACATCGAAATGAGCTTATATCTTTAAAAATGTCAATAGTTCACGAGATACAAGGCCATTTCTTAATTATGTATCCAAATTAAACCATAAAAAGCCATTTTATCATATAAATACACTATCCACAAAATTTTACTTATTCTCTTAATAATATAGATGTAAATAAGTGTGTGTATATTAAGTAAATAAGTAAACAAAAATTGTGAAGCTCGCTTTAATCACCGCTTTAATGTGTGTAAATAATGAATATTAATAGACAAGTGATTTTGACCGTGTCATCCGAGCACGTGTAAAAAATCTCGTGGTACAATGGGTAATTATAATTTTTACACGTTGCGACCGTCATTGTAATAAGTAATAAGCATTATCAATAATCATTTTTTTATCATGCTGAATTATTGAGTGGTTTTATCTTTCATATGATTCACTTTTCTAAATGTGCATTCATTTGCTTCTTTTTTTAAATATTATTTTTGTTTTACCAAGGTTTTGAGGATTTCGCGGGTTTTTACCTTTGTTCATTTGTTTTTTGGTAATTTATTCTTATTGTTTGATCCGCTTAGTCATTTGGAACAAAGAGGGAACTTTTTTGGACTTAATTAGCAGAATTTTTAATTATTTTTGCAGGAAATTCCGGTTATTTATAAGAATTATTAGTAGTGATTATTATTTTCAAATTTTGGGATTTTATAATGAAGAATTTTGTAAATAATGTAACGCGTAAACTAAGGGTCTGAAATTAATTATCGAGGGCTTGTTTTATTCAGAATTTCATAAGCTACAAAAAATGTCTATAATTTTTTCAATATCTCTCATAGTTCTCAAGATATTCTCACTTTTATTCATAATTTTGACACGGAAACATTATTTACACATTTTTTCCATTTTTTTTTTAACTTCCTCACTAATTTTTCTTCTCTCCGCATCAAAATCAAATAGTTTCAAGTAGTACCATCAATTTTTCCCAAAAATTCCTTAGAAAATCCAATTATTCTTTTAAAAATTCAATTTTTCTCCTAAAACTTCAATTTTTCTTCTAAAAGTTCTTTAAAAATTCAATTTTTCTCTTAAAAATTTTTTAAGAGTTCAATTTTTATCCAAAAATTCAATTTTTTTTCTAAAAGTTTAATTTTTTCTCAAAAGTTTCTAAAAAAAATTCAATTTTTATCCTTAAAATTCAATTTTTCTTCTAAAAATTTATCATAAATTCAATTTTTTCCCAAGAATTTCTTAAAAGTTGAATTTTTCTCCTGAAAATTCTTTAATAGTTTAATTTTTATCCAAAAATTTAATTTTTCTTCTAAAAGTTCAATTTTTTCCCAAAATTTCTAAAAAAATTCAATTTTTTTTCTAAAAGTTCTTCAAAAGTACAATTTTTTTCCGAAAATTTCTTAAAAACCCAATTTTTCTCCTAAAAATTCTTTAAAAGTTCAATTTTTATCCAAAAATTGAATTTTTCTTCTAATAGTTCAAGTTTTTCCCAAAAATTTCTAAAAAAATTCAATTTTTATCCTGTTAAATCATTTTTTCACCTAAGAATTCAATTTTTTCCTATAGATTCCTTAAAAATTAAAAAAAAAAATCAATTTTTTCCCAAAAATTCTTAAAAAATCTACTTTTTGGCCAATTTAATGCATTTCCCAAAAACTTCCCTTTCAAAAAATTATAAATCAAAAACAATTGTTTCAGGAGAACGCGAAGTCTTAACGCGCCAAGTCCAATCCAACAATTCGGGCCATGTGGTCGGATAATGAAGAACTCAGCAATGGTTATGTGAGTGGATTACAAACTATAAATAAATCCTTCTAAATGACTCTATAAAAATAGTGAGTACTCATAAAATAACATTGTATTCTCAGGATTACAATAACCATCTAATTAAAAGCAAGCAAGTCAATGAACTGACGTTGTTAGAAAATACCGGAAACGGGGTCGCGGAAAATGGGACCGGAATTCAAAAAATCAGCATCATTATTTAATCGACAAACACTAAATAAAAATACTAAGACATAAACACACTGCGATCTATGATCGATGATCGATGTATTTAAATAATATCGCGGGGAAACTTCCCATTATTAAACATAAGCTCGTGAGTTAATTATGACGCATGCGCAAATACAAAACTGATGTCTCGTGTGGCAGCGGTTATTAAGATTTACATTATATTAGCGAATACAAGTATCATACATATATTTACTATATTAAATCGAATGAATATATAAAACAGTACGGACACCAGCAGTGGCAGTATGTGCGCGACCCTCGACCTACGATCGTCTCGTAGTTAAGCGTCATGCTTTTTGTTTTTAGTTTTGTTTATTATTTTTGATATTTTTTATTTTATGTTTAATTAACAAGTTACTTTTTTTTTTACTTTTTTATTTACTGCTGTTAAGTTTGTTATTTTTTTTATTGATTATTTTTAATTATGGTGGGATTTATTAGGTAAGAAATTTTTTTAATTAGAAAATTTGTAAATTCAATCTACGCAGCCTGATAATTAATGAAAAAATTAAAAAACTGTTTTTCGGGATATATAATTAAATGGTTAAGAATTTAATGCAATCAACGATTTAAAAAAAATTTTATCTTCATTGAATTTGATTGAAAAAATAATAAGCTAAAGATTAAAACAATAAAAAAAGTAGCTTTCAGAGATATTTTAGATTTTTTATGAAAAATCACTCGGACACTTGCGTTCTTTAAAGTCTTGTGTTTGACTTGGCAACACCGCTTGCGCAGTTACCCAAAGCATAAGTACCCGCGGTTTTTTAAATGCTAGATCTTAGTCATTTTAGTTAGACAGTAAACATAAATAAATTTTAAGGATAGGGATACTCTTGCGATGTTGTCAAGTGTATACCGGTAATTCAGAGTGATATAAAGTTCAGAGTTTATAAATAAAATTTTGCATTTTTAAATAATGAATTTTGTTAAATTGCATTGTACTTTTTTAAATATTGACTTTTCTTAAGATATAAGCTCACCTTGATGTTATACTCTTTAAGAGCTTTCATTTGAGTACCCACATACATTTTTGATATATTTTTCATATATACATACATATGATTGATGAATGTAAGATCAAAATGAGCTTATATCTTTAAAAATGTCAATAATTCACGAGATATTTGTAAAAATGTCCTGTCCTTTCTCAACTATTGACATTTTTAAAGATATAAGCTCACCTTGATATTATACTCATCAAGACCTTTCATTTGAATACCTACATGCATTTTTTACATATTTTTCATATATACATATATATGATATATATAAATATATCATTTATATGAAAAATGCATGTAGGTATTCAAATGAAAGGTCTTGATGAATGTAAAATCGGTATGAGCTTATATCTTTAAAAATCTTAATATTTTACAAGATACAATATCATTTCTTAATTATGTATAATACTAAATTTAACCATAAAAACCCATTTTATTATATTAATACACTGGCCACAAAATTTTGCTTATTCTCTTAATAATATTGATGATTAGTAAATTTATCGGAAATGTCCTTAAAGATCTTATTAATTAATTTGAAAATTAATTTTTTTTTTAATTTAGTAAATTAACAAAAATCTAAAAATTCACGTGTTAAAAAAATATTATTCTAATTAATTATTTTTATTAAAAAAAATTTTTATAAATAAAATTTAATAATTGTTAAAAAAATAACAATTGTTTCTTTTTATGTAAATAGTATTAACTACAATTATTATTGTTATAAATTATAAATAAAGTCTTACGAGTTCGGTCAGTGGACTTTGGCTTCATTCAAATGATTCTCAAGTAGAACGACCCCCCGGGACTTTAGCAATAATAATAATAATTGTAAAACACAATTATCGGATTTTAAATTTAATTATCGCAAAATATTTCAAAACTTTTAATGAATCATAATTACTGTTGTTACAAAATAAAATAGATTATTATGATTGGTAATTGTAACTTTGTTAAACAAGCTGATCTGATGTTTTAATAATAGTTTAGTAATTTTAAATTGTAACTTAGTGTAACAAAGTTTTTATTACTCATAATGGTAATTGATGACCTAATTGACCTATCAGTGCGTATACAAATCGCGTCATTGTTTTATTGGTATTGAGTACTTATTATTAGGTGTGATCGTGATTGGTTTTATTTTGGAGTGAGAAAATATATATACTAATTAAATTTATTTGCATTTTTAGGACAATTCAAGACCCCGCGTCGCAGCGACTTACGTGGTACAAACCACCACTGACCGTTTTGGTGATTAAGAAAGTCAGGGATTCTTCGGTTCTTCCGCCATTTGTTCAATTGGTCACTTGGTTAATTGAGGTAATTATTATAATTAACTTTTTTTCATAGAAATTGAATTATTAGATTGTAAGTTATCGAATTTTTGACATTGATAGATTCCCAAAATTTTTGAATCGATATATTGCAGCAACTATAAGAGATATCAAAAGAAAAGATACATACTTTGTAGCTTATGAAATTCTGAAAAAACTAAGCCCTCGATAATTAATTTCTGACCCTAAGTTTACGCGTTACATTATTATTTACACAATTCTTCATTATGAAATCCCAAAATTTGACAATAACCGGAGTTTTCTGCGGAAATAAATAAAAATTCTACTAATTAAGTTCAAAAAGATTCCTCGTTTCTTCCAAATGACTAAGCGGATCAAATAATAAGAATAAATGACCAAAAATCAAATAAACAAAGGTGAAAACCCGCAAAATCCTCAAATTTTGGAAAGTTCAACGGAAAAGTAGGAATACTTCAGCAACTGTTAGACCTAGACATTAGTTTTTGAATTACAAGGATTTTAAATTTATATATAACAATGTAAATAATGGATTCCAAAATTTGTTAATGCAGGAAAAAATTGTTTGTAGTCAAATTTCGGAAATTTCTAAGAAAAAGTGAGAATATCTCAGTAACTATAAGACCTATCAAAAAAACCTAAAGAATCCTTTTTTCTAGCTTATGAAATTCTAAAGAGAATAACGACGTTCTAATTAGCAAATTGTCTAACTCTATTTTAGAGAATCTTCCATTCTTACGAAGAAAACAATTCAAAATTTATTATCACTTAAAAAAACCATTTAATATCATTAATGTCTAATAGAGATATACTAGAAATTTGAATAGCGCGCTACGCGCGCGCCTAAATTTGAACCAATAATGAATCGTGGCCCGTTTTTTTGCGAGTTTCGACCTTTGACTAAATAATTTATGATTGGACTATTGCTGCATCAAAATATTTAAAGATCACCCTCTAAAAAATAAGGAGTTAGACAAATTGCTAATTAGACCGGTGATAAGTCTTTCATCATTAATTTCTGACCCGTAGTTTTTGAATTATGAAAAATTAAGCATTCACATATAGAATTCTTCATTGTGAATTTCCAAAATTTGAAACTTTAAATATCTCAGTAACTATAAGACCTATCAAAAAACCTATATACCTTTTTTTGTAGCTTATAAAATTCTGAATGCAACAAATCCTTCATCATTAATTTCTGACCCGTAATTTTCAAGTTAAAGTAGTTTAACATTGATGTATAGTCAATGAATTCCCAAAATTTGAAACTCTCGATATCTTTAGCTGGATAGCTTTAAAGCCAATTAAAAATTCTCAATACTTATTACCAAAAATTCCAGCAAAAACGCATGGTAGTCTACGTGGAAGCGACAGTCCTAGAAGACCTAGCCCTAGCACGAGATCCAAGGTTCCAGGTCGTTCGAGACCGACTGCAAACCTTCCGCGACGGAACGGACGATCTGCAAGACAAAATCGACTTCATAGTTTGTCTCGGCGGTGATGGAACACTTTTATACGCAAGTCTGCTGTTCCAACAGTCGGTACCGCCGGTAATGGCTTTTCACCTTGGCTCTCTGGGTTTCCTCACGCCGTTTGAGTTTGACAACTTCCAAGAACAGGTCACGAACGTACTCGAAGGTAATTCTCATCATATCAAATAAGTCATCATCCATTACAATAATAAATAATAAATAATTCCAAGATAAAAAGGGATAAAGACCTTGAATTATTTAGATTTAGATACTGGTCTTAAATAATAATCGTCCTTCAGTAAATTAGTGTCATCCTTGATTTAATAACGACTCAATTAGGCATCAGATAATGGTAATAATAATGACCTTCGTTACGCAACATGGGAAATTCATTATTATTTATTATTTAATAATATATAATAGAGTTGTCTTAACGATTTTCGATCTTTCTAGGTCACGCGGCCCTGACATTAAGGAGCCGGCTGAGATGCATAATAATGAGGAAAGGCGAAGACGGTCAGCCCTCTAAGCCGCCAACAAACCTCCTGGTGCTCAATGAGGTCGTGATTGATCGCGGACCTTCGCCGTATTTGTCAAACATCGATCTGTTCATCGACGGCAAACATGTCACCAATGTCCAGGGTGATGGCTTGATTGTAAGCACTCCCACAGGCTCCACCGCTTACGCTGTGGCTGCTGGTGCCAGCATGATCCACCCTTCGGTGCCTGCGATTATGATCACGCCGATATGTCCTCATTCTCTTTCCTTCAGACCAATTGTTGTCCCAGCTGGCGTCGAACTTAAGGTTTGTTCTTCTTTGTTCATTAACTTTTACGAATTTTTGGTAATTTGGGTTTTTGAATTCTAGATTTCCGTGTCGCCTGATAGCAGAAATACTTCCTGGGTGTCTTTTGATGGAAGAAATCGGCAAGAGCTTTTCCACGGTGATAGGTAATATTTTTTTTCATCACAATTCAAGCTATTCAAGCTTAATCCATTAAAATAATTTTTTATGTAGTTTTATAAGCTTATTATGGTCCAAAATATCAATTTATAACTTTTTTATAAAATTTAGTTCTAAAATTTTCCAACAGGTGGCGCATGGTCGCTAAATCATTCTCGTTTGAAGAGAGTTAGCTTTGAGAATTTATAAGAAAGTAAAGATTATTTTTTAAAATCTCTTCTAAAGAATTTATCTAGAATTAATTTCAATTAATTTTAACTAAATCAGTTGATATTCAATAAAATATAGGATAATTCTATATTATTGGAAAATAAGTAAAATTTTGTGCATTTATTTTATAAAATGGGTTTTTATGGGTAAATTTGTTTTATATCATTTTTATCAATAGTAAATTTATGATGATTAAGACTGCATTAGAAAATTATTTTTTTAGATACATAATTAAGAAATGACCTTGTATATTGAAAACTATTGACATTTTTTAAGATATAAGCTCATCTTGATGTTAACCTTATCAAGAGCTTTCATTTGAGTACCAAGATCAATTTTTCATATATTTATATATATTATATATATGTATGTATGAAAAATATATAAAGAATGCAAGTGGGTACTCAAATGAAAGCTCTTGATGAGAGTTACTTAAAAATGAGCTTATATCATTGCTATCTATGTTAATATTCTAATTATTAATATCTTTTTGCAGTTTGAGAGTAACGACATCTATCTACCCGGTGCCAAGTATCTGCGCGTCAGACCAAATTACCGACTGGTTCGACTCACTCGCTGAATGCTTACACTGGAACGTCAGAAAACGTCAGAAACACTTGGATGAACTGAGTGACTTGACCCACTCCTCGAGCAACGATACTCTGGACTCTTTAGACCGTGACAGTTAATAATGACAAGTTCATAAAATTAATATTAATAGTACCTTACATTAAGTTCGCAATAACATAACCTCGTCGATCCGATTTTCATCACACGTTTGAACAATTATCAATCATTTCATTAATCATTTTTTAGTCTTGTTTTTTTTCTAATTTTTTTAGCTGTCCGATTTATTTTATATGGGTCAGATCACTGTTAATATCTACATATTATTTTTACTTATTTATTATTTCATGTTATGTCTCTCGGAATTATATCGTTTCATTCTCTCAAATATACTTAGTTTACTTAATAATAATAATTAATAATTGTTAAATAAAATGTAGCATTTTTAAATCGAATATTTGTTTATATATAGATCAGATAATTTTTTAATTAATATTATAATTATTGTTAATATTACTGTAAGTATAAAAACGAAAGTGTTAATGTTTAGTGTGTCGATTTTGAATAAAAATATTTTTTTACTAACTTATTTTCTTTTTTTTTTCAATCAGACAATAAAAAATAATTTTCTAAAATTTATCAAAATAGATTTATAGTATAGTAAATAATTATCTTTTAAAATAATTCTATTGAAAAAAAATACTTAATATTCTGAAATAATAAATAATTATTTAAAAGCTCTGATAAAATTATTTTTACAATAGAATTTTATAATCTACAATCTCTAATACTGATCAAATAGAAATCTGTATCATTTTATAATAAATTGCAAAAAAGTAGATTTCCTACGGTAAAATATTACGACTCAAGGTCAGAAAGTTAAACTTTTTAATTCAGAAAGATGATTTGAAATGATTACCTTTATATTAATTGCAAATTTATAAAGTATTCGAATCAGATGCTTTTAAATTATTTTAAATTAGATTTCTTAATCTAATTTATCTTAAAATTATTTTAAATATTCAAACGCAAGACGAGAGAATAATATAAAGACTTACCCTTGTTGTAATCTCTGCTACCACCTCGTCCATTGATCCTTTGACTTGTCCAAGACTTCATTCTGCTTCATTCATACATTACATTACAGTTCACTGTAATGCACAATATCATAATACAAAAATATAGTATATGTTTTGTTTCTTATTTAATTTTTCTCGTTTTAGTTTGTAATTGTTTATATTTTAATTTGGCAAGAATTAAAAAAAAAATAATTAAATATTAATAGATGTAAGCTAACAAGTACCTTAAACTCGCGCGGACCATGGAGAGAGCGCTCCCGCCAAAAGTATCTTAAATATATTTTTTAACCAATTTCACATTAAGTAATTAATACATATATTAGTTACTTAGTATCCGTTTGTGTAAAACAACTTAAATAATTATATAAAGATACTTTAATTTTTTTTTAATTAGATATTTATATTTTGAATAGGCTTTATATTTGTATTTTATTATGTTAAGTAAGAAAAATTCGAGAAAAACTCAATTAATTTTAAGATAAAATTTAGATGTAAAATATCAGGTACCTTAACTTCGCGCGGACCATGGAGAAAGCGCTCATCAAAATCACATTTGAATATTTAAGCTTTATGCTACTATTTTTTATTTTAAAGTAAAATAATTCGAGAAAAACTCGATTTAATTCAAGATAAAATTTAGATATAAAATAACAAGTACCTTGACTTCGCGCGGACCATGGAGAAAGCACCAGCCAAAATCATACTTATATGTTTGTATTTTTTATTTTAAAATAAAAAATTCGAGAAAAACTCTATTTAATTTAAGATAAAATTTAGATGTAAAATAACAGGTACCTTACCTTTGCGCGAACCATGGAGAAAGCGCCAGCCAAAATCATTTTTAGATACTTAAGCTTCATGTTTGCATTTATTATTTTAAAGGACAAAATTCGAGAAAAACTCAATTAAATTTAAGATAAAAGTTTAGATGTAAAACAACAGGTACCTTGACTTCGCGCGGACCATGGAGAGAGTGCCTATCAAAATCATACTTAGATATCTAGGATCTATGTTTATATTTTTTATTTTGAAGAAAAAAATGCGAGGAAAACTCGATTAAATTTAAGATAAAATTTAGATGTAAAACAACAGATATCTTGACTTCGCGCGGACCATGGAGAGAGCGTTTCCGCCAAAAGAAACCTTATAGCGAAGCGTACTCCGCGGCGGTTCTTTCTTGACTGAATCTGATTGGTCTACAACGAGGAGTGGGGAGTACAGTAGAAGCTTGCGGGCCAATCAAAATACTTCTAATAAATAAATAAATAAACGGAAGGAAAAAAAATAAAATCAATTTAAAAAAATACATATATATTTAACAAAATATAAACTATGTAATAAATACATTACACAGTACATTTATCTATTGATTTATTATTATTGTTATTATTATAATTTATAAATATTACAAAAATTAATTTTACACTAAACAATATACACAATTTTATTTATATAATTTATCATACAGGTTATAAACATACAATATATATTTTTGTTAATCATACTCATGATTTATTATTATTTAATAATTAATAGTAATAATAAACATAACAATGACTTAAGTTTAGAGACTAGAGGGCCTCTTTGGCGAGGGACCAATTTTCAATTTTAATTACTCAATAGATTTTTTTTAATAATAACTTAAATTATAGGACAAAATTAATAAATTTATTTACAATTTTATCAAAAAAAAAAAAATAATAATTATGGCAATCGAGAGATGGTTTTTTTTTTATAATTTTAAAAATCAAAATCCGTTCTCACGTCTTTGTAATTTTATAATTTATTTTTAATTGACCAAAAACTCGTTTTTTACACACGGGCTTGGTTACGGTGATTAAACATTGGGTAAAAAAAAAAGAAAAAAAAAATGATAAATTAGGAGTTGAGAGGAAAATTTATTGAATAGAAGAATTTATTGAGAAAGAATGGGATGCGATTTGTTGTAATGATTCGGAAAAAAAAAATGAATTTCGTAACTAATGTTGAGTGTGTAAATAGTTGGTGTAATAAATAATTTAAATGGCAGGAATGGTAGCGGTATTATAATAGTTATTGAGTAAACAAAAGAAAAAAAATAAATAGAAGAAATATTTGAGTTTGTGTTTAGTGATACGGATAGTTATGAATAAAATGATTGTAAACATTAGAGTCTACGGATAAGAGTTAAGAGTAGGATATTGTGTAGAGTCTACAGGTGTTCATATTCAGTATCTGAGAGTGTAACGTTTAATGTAAATTACTGGTTTTTCTATCATAATCATAATCCCCTTCTCTCTCCATTTCACTCAGGCGTTACGAAATAACAATTATTATTCGTTCCACTGACTTTTTAAGTCTCTCGATTGACTCGTACTTATTTACATTTTTTATTTTTGTCTGGGTTATGTGTGTAAGACCATATGGTAGACATTCATTTTTAGATTTTGATGGTGATTATATCTTAAAAATCTGATTCATTGGAATTATTATTATTTGTTTTTAATTAGATGATTAGATAATTAGATCTAATTAATTAGAATTTGTGTTTAACTTAATTTTTAAGTAGTTGAAAAAATTATTTTTTGAATAAAAAAAATGGTTAGATCTAATACTTAGATCTGGATCTAATTAATTAGATATTAGATCTGAATATTCTAATTAATTGAAATTTGAGTTTTACTTCATTTTTAACTAGTTTATAAATTCTTTAATTTTTGTTAAAATTCAGATCTAATTAATTAGATCTAGATCCAATTAATTAGATCTAGATCCAATTAATTAGATCTGAACAAACTAATAATTTAGAATTCTAATTCAACTAAATACGCAACTAGTTGATGAATTTGTTAGAGTTTGGTAATAAGATATTAAATCTGACAATTAGATCTAGATCTAATTAATTAGATCTAGACAATTTAGAAAAATAGAAATTTTTATTAAACTCTACAATCGACAAATTCATGCAATCATAAATCCTCTTTTATAATTAGATGTTCAGATCTGATAATCAGATCCAGATCCAATTAATTAGATCTAGATAACCAACAAATTAGAATCAATGATTAGACTTCCATAATATTAGATTCAATCACACCAATAACGAAATTTTCTAAATCTAATAAATTAGATCCAATAGTCAGATCTATTTAATTAGATCTCATAGCCAGATCTAATTAATTAGATCCAATAGCCAGATCCAATATTCAGATTAATAAATTAGATCCAATAGCCAGATCCAATGAATTAGATCAAAACAGCTTCAATAATCATAAAACTACCTCAATTTCTACAAATTACAACAATTTAATCTCATAAATAAATTTCAATGACAAAATCTAGATCTAATAACCATCTTACTTCCCATATTGTTTTCTCCTAGTACTAGCCCTCACACACGGCGCCTCACTTTTCGCCCTCACCTCCACACTCTTCCCCTCTTTTTCCCCCTCAAACAACCGACACATCTCCCTCACCGGAACAGTCTTGACGCCTCTGTTCAAATCATGCAGCGATCTTGCCCTCTGCTTGCCCTTGGGACTAGGCTGCGCCGAAGTTCGTCCCAAATCCTCAGTACTTCTCGCTAACCTCCCTCCCATTCTCGAAAGCGACTCAAATAACGTCAATTTCTCCTTTACCGGCACATAATGATCGACCCTCTGACATCTCGCTAATAACTTAGCAACGTCTTCTTCACAAGGACTCTTCTTTCCGGTCAATGAAGTATTATTAGATCCTGCCACCTGAATTGGACTAATTGGAATCTCTTTAATTAGAACTTCACTTTTGGTTACTGGAGACCTCCTTTCAATTCCAATACTAGATCCGATTACTTTAAGATCTAATGATATTGGAATTCGAGATCCAATTACACACCGGTCCTTGCCATTAGTTTCCATTAGCTTGCAATTGGAATCAGATCTTACCGTTCTTCTTTCTCGGGCTCGACTTCGTCGTTCTCCAATATCTAATTTTGTTTGTTTAATTTCATCGGAATTTTTTCTATTATTATTCCGCGTATCTTCTAATACTTTAAGATCTAATTTTTCTGGTTTTATAGGTGGTAGCCTCAAATTATTAGAATTATTAGAAGAATTTAAATAATTATTAGAATTATTAGAAGAGTTTAAATAATTATTAGAATTATTAGAAGAATTATTCGAATTATTAAAATTTAAATAATTATTAGAATTATTAGAGTCGACAACATCAATAGATTTAATTAGATCCTCCTCATTAGAATTAGATCTCGAATTAGACCTCCTAAATCTAATTAACGAGTACTTATTAAAATCATGGCAATTATTATTTTCCTCTAATTTAGCGCGTCGTTTTCTCGCGTCTTCCTCAAGAACTCGACGACTCCGTGCTTCATTTTCGCGACGTCTGGCCTCTTTATACCTCTGAATGCGCTGCTCCCTTGTCGGAGCCTCTGGAAGGGGAATAGGTGACGTCAGAATCGGAGTGGGGGTCGAGGATAGCGTAGAAGTGGGGGTAATAGTAGCCCAGGGTAGGCTATCGTCGCTTCCCTCACTACTCTCACTGCAGCCCCAGACTCGGGTGGGGGGAATCTTCGGAAGAATCGAGAGTGGTGGGGGTCGGTACTCGTTTATTATTATCGCGTCCTCGTCGCTGGAATTACTGCTGGACCAGCAGCGTAATTCGCTTCGCGCTCGTCGACGATTGTCCTCGATTAGGATGTTAGATCTGATGCTCAGGTCCTTGTCTAGGGGAGAGTCGTTGCCTATCCAGCAGCGCAACTCGCTTCTAGAGCGACGACGTGACTCTGGTGGTGACTCCGGAAGGGTGATTTGGCCTCTTGGGCAGATCATCAGGATTTCGAGGAAGTTGAGACAACGCTGGGCACGAAATGGCGTCTGACGGACCAGTTCCGAGGCTATGGCACGCACCCATGACCAGTAGGCTGGTTCTGTGTCTGCCTGCAAGTTAAAATTCTAATTAGGTTATTTTCTAATTAGTAATATAATTATTAAGTAATTGTTATTAATCTATATTATTAAAAAAATAAGCAAAATTTTGTCGCAAGTGTATTTTTATGATAAAATAGGTTTTTATGGTTAAATGTGGTATCGTTGGAAAAGTCAAGACCTGGAGTTGTGCCTTTAGATCTATAAATAAGAAATGACCTTATATCGTGAGAACTATTGACATTTTTAAAGATACTAGGAATTTAAATTGCGCGCATACGCGCGCGCTCTAATTCTGAACGTTATTTCGATACTAAGCTAACTTCAATCTAAATCTCAACCAATAAGGAATCAGGGTCCATGTTTTCTCGATACTAAGCTAACTTCATTCTACCATCAATTTTAGTATATAGGATAAGCTCATCTTGATGTTACACTCATCAAGACCTTTCATTTGAGTACCTACATCAATTTTTCATATATTTTATATATATATATATATATATATATATATATATATATATATATATGAAAAATATATGAAAAATGTATGTGGGTACTCAAATGAAAGCTCTTGATGAGTGTAATATAAAGATGAGCTTATATCTTTAAAAATGTTAATATTTAAGAAGGTACAGTGCAATTTAACAAATATCTCGTGTTTAAATTTGATAAAATGTATTCAAAGCTAATTAATTAAATCTAACTAAGCTAAAAAAAATAATGAATAAAAAAATCTTCTCTCCTTGAGCGACAAGTTTATGACAATAGCAATATTCTTATTTATCTAAATCTTGCGTATTATTACAAAGAATAAAAAAAAAAAAGTTTTCTATAAAACAATACCGAGATTTGCACATGATATGCTGCATAATGAGTAATTGTAATAAAGATCTGCCCTGATCTTGGTCATTGAAAGTGAGAATAGTGTAATCAGAAACCCATGCCCACATACTCACAATTATAAATATATATATAAATATAAATTATACCAGGATTAATACAGCGAAGAAAAATATTCATGCATATATACACAGAAAGATAATTTAGCACCACGCAACTATCAACGTAATTACATGTAAATGGGTTTTATCTTCATCACGATCCGTTTTTCTAGCAGTAAACACTTTCTCGCGATCAGTCTCTCTACTCCAGGTTGTTTTGTGCTGAGTTTTATTATTATTATTGTGATTATTATAACTCACACATATTTTAGGCCCATCCATATATGTGCATACCGATACTATACAAGACTGTGGAATACGTATATTTATACACATATTTAAAGAGCAATGTAATGTTAGTTGGTTACTTGGGACTTGAGTCTGCGAGCAGTCTTAATTAAACCTTCCGTTCATTCCATAGCATCGTCGTTCGATTTCTAACTCTTATACAATACCTACACGGTGATTAATGTGGGCCGAGGTTTCGCATTTACTCTTTACTCTTAACTTAAATTATACTGTCATTACCATTAAATATAATCATTATTTTTAATAAAAAAGTTCGGTAGATCTCAAATCAAGTTATTATTATTATTAACAATAATAATAAAATTATAAAATTTTGCTTTACCAAATAATGAATTTTGTTAAATTGCACTGTACTTTATTAAATATTGACATTTTTTAAAATATAAGCTCATCCTGATGTTACATTCATCAAGAGCTTTCTTTTGAGTACCCACATGCATTTTTGATATATTTTTCATATATACATATATATAATATATATATATGAATATATAAAATATATGAAAAATTGATGTGGGTACTCAAATGAAAGGTCTCGATGAGTGTAACATCAGGATGAGCTTATATCTTAAAAAATGTCAATATTTCACGAGATACAAGGTCATTATGTACTGGTCACAAAATTTTGCTTATTCTCTTAATAATATAGATAAGAATAATAATACTTCTAATTTTTTTGGAAAATATCATTATTATTATTAGTATTATTTCTTAAAAACATTCTTGGGTAATACAAGCGCAAAGAATTTAAAAAATTATAAACGTAAAAGATACAACAACTGAAGGTTGTTAATGACAAAGCAAATAGTAATGTAATTGTCACTGTAGAACTTACGTTTCACTTCCGTTAAAAGTTAAGAGCTACATAAAACTAGCCAGTAATATAACGATAATTTGTCAGCTAACGAGTGAATTATTTTCGCTTGGCCAGCACGCAACTTTCCAAAGCAACTAGCGAAATCAGTCATGGTCAATCATCCTACGAGAGAGAGAAGAAAAAAAAACACGGCAACAAAAAAAAATTTCTGTCCAAGTCTGGCTACCACCTAGCTTGCTTGCTCCCATGCTTTTAATACCAAAGGTTATCGGAAAGATCTGATACGATCGGCTTATCATTAATCAGATTCATTAGCTCTTTAATATCGGAACCAATAATGAGAAGACTAGATTTTCTTGATATACTTGTTAATTTAACTTTTTCCGAGTTAGATGTGGTATTAGATTGTTGATATTTTAATTGGATTTGAAGAGAAACTGTCAGGCTTCTGGATTTGTGGTTTGGTAATTGGATCCAATTATTGTGCTTAATTGATCAATATCAACAAGGAAGTCATGAGAAAATTTTATTTTACTTCAAGATTTTTGGTAAGTTTCATCAAAAATCAGATCTTAATATTTTATTGGATCTCGTTATCAGATCTAATGAATATTATCTAATAAATAATTCCATATAATTATTACAAGATTAAATAAAATTTGGGGAACACCTTCAATAAATTAGATCTAATAATTCGTTGTGATCAAATGAATCTAAGTACTAGATCTAATAGTATAAATCTAATAGATAAAAATCACATCCAATTTATTAGATCTAAATATCAGATCTGATTAATTAGATCTAACTATTAGATCAGAATATCAGATCCAATTTATTGGATCTAACTATTAGATCTGACTATTAGATCCGATTATTAGATCTAATTTATTGGATCTGACTTCTAGATCCAATATATTAGATCTGATTCATTGGATCTAAACTATTAGATCCAACTATTAGATCTAATTTATTAGATCTTACTATTAGATCTTACTATTAGATCTAGCTATCAGATCTAATTTATTGGATCTAACTATTAAATCTGATTTATTAAATCTAACTATCAGATCCTATTATTAGATCCAATTCATTGGATCTAACTATTAAATCCAATCTATTCCATCTGGCTTCTAGATCCAATTCATTGGATCTGGCTTCTAGATCTAACTATTAGATCTAATTTATTGGATCTGGCTTCTAGGTCCAATTTATTGGGTCTGGCTTATAGATCCAATTCATTGGATCTGGCCTATAGATCTTCTTTATTGGATCTGACCATTTAATGTTATTATTTGTTGGATTTAATCAATTGGATGTGTTTAATGGTTCCAATTAATTAGATCTGATTAATAATCTGATCCAACAAAATTTATTTATCATTTCTGTCAATATAAAGACGATCTCAAAAACTAGGTCATCGAAACATTCCGATCTGTTTATTGAAAGAAAATTGATTGGAAATCAAGTGGAATGCAGATGTTGTATTATACGAGCCTGTATTTATTAAATTATGTTAATTTAATTGAGTACTATTTACCCAAAAAGTAGCAAGATGATCGCCTTTAGAATTACTCAACGTAAACCCAAGTGCGAGTGCATGTGGTTGACATATTCCAGGCGATGCTTGACGAAGGTTCAGTGCCCTCAGTGCAAGTCTCATTGGTGTTCCTTCTACCCATAGCCAGCCCATCCTAATCGATACCATTCGCCTTTCACCTAAGTCCTCGACATACAGCTCGCCTGTAACAAATAAATTACCATTTTATAATGCTTCATTTATTATTATATACTCAATAAATTATTTTAATAACACTAAACAATAACTAAATTATCGTTAATTATTATAAGAAATAAATTCCAGGTACATAGTGAAGCTGCCAAGTTTTCTTTTTTATTAATCTATTAATTATTACAATTGTAATATAGTGAAACAGGAAAGTATAAATTCTGGAGTTTTATTTATTATTTAATTACAAATACGCATCGGTAAATACGTTAATACTAGTAATATCTGCAACAATTAAATAATAGAAATTTATATATTTTATATTTATTATATTATATTATGTATTTATTAAATTTTATTAGTTCAAGCTTTCGTTGAATTTATTATATATTTTTCACTTTAACTTTTTCCTACCCTAGTTAGATTAAATCTAATTAATTGGATATAGGTAAAAGATCCAATAAATAAGATCTGTATCATCAGATCCAATTAGTCAGATTTTTATCCTGAAATCTAACTATAAGATCTGATTGATTAGATCTAAATATCAGGTCTAATTAATTAGATCCCGACATCCGATCTAATTAATCAGATCTGAATTAATGGATCTAATTAATTAGATCTAATTAATTAGATCTTAATTATTAGATCTGAATAATTAGATTTGATGGTATAGGTCCAATTAATCAGATCTGGTTCTAAAGATCCAATTAATCAGATCTGATTGTTTAGATCTGATGAAATCAGATCTAATTAATTAGATTTTATGAATCATATCTGAAGAAAAGATCTAATTAATTAGATTGAAGTATTAGATCCAATCAAAATTTTTTTTCTAAATTAAAAATTTATTTCATAAAAAAAAATTACTAAAATTTTTTGTAAATCTTAAATTCCCATTCAAAAAAAGAGAAACTGAAATTTCTAGTGACCTAAACATAAAGTAACAAAAAATAAATTACCAAATAAATATTTATTCCCGTAATCAACCATGCCGGCGGCGTGTGTCAAAATGAATAAACTGTGAGAGTAAACATCTAATAGTATGCATATACCGTACTCTATTGTTGATTAAAAATACAAAATTATTGATGAGAAAACTTCAGCAATAAAGACAAATCTCAGCGTTTAGTTAACTATATAATAACATAATATACTACTTTCTCAGAATATTACCAACGTTGATTTTTTAAATACCCACACGTACACGACTCGGTAATAAATTTTTCTTTTCCGTATCACTGGGCAGTGGCTTGATAAATCGGCTCGCATTTTTAAATATTTTATTTAAATAACTTTCGAAATATTTATCGCCGGTTTCAAGGTCTCATTCATAAAATAAAACAAAAACGGAAACAACAATCTCAGAATGAGAAGACGACTCACCGTATTATCAATCCAATTATTCATTTTAATTATTACTCATTGCTCTGAAATTTGTTAATTATCATCTTTAATGAGTTAATTACAATTTTACCGCCGTTTTTTGCTATAATTTCTGACTTTCTTTGTTCTTGCAAAAATTCCGCGTAAAGTCGCGGGTTCGAATCCTAGTGACTGATTTTTTTTTTTTTTTTTTTTTTTTTTTTTTTAATTAAATTCCAACCTTTCCGGTTATAAAATGTAAATGCAGACAATAGTAATATTTATTTAAAAAAAAAAAAAAAAGAACCTTAACAGCCACAAGGTAACATTTTGAAATAGTGATCCAGCGAGTCTTATTATATTATCCATTACGGTCTTTTAAATTCTGTCACATCTTGATCCATCATTTTGAAACGTTATAATAAACCCCTTTCACTGAACCATGAGACTTTATATACATCGAAAAATTTTTAGTCTAGTCCCCGTTCCCCGTTTGTTATTTCTATCCACAGTCTCGGTATCTTCATTACATATATTACCAAAGACTTATGAATTATTTATTTATTCACACATGCCCAATTGCTCTGGTGCGCTATACTACCAAATTAATATCAATTTTTCACGCTATTGTCTGTTTTTTTTTTTTTTTTTTTTTTTTTTTATGTTTATTTATTTTCTTTGGATCCATTTGAGCTTTGGAGGTTACCTTTACAGTGACTTGCCCAATCGCTGACTGGGATTGTGAATTGTGGATCCATGGGTAATGTCAACTGCGTGACGAAGCATGTCAAGGACCAGTTCTATCATGTTTTATGCATATTATTACTATTGCTTATGCAATAATTTCATATTTTTTATTAACCAAACCTGAGAATTTTGAATTCGTAACTACTGTCGTAAACAATTGTTTGGTTGTTCGTTTTGTAATGCGGAGGAATTACATAGTTGAATAGTTTTATGAGGTAGGAGTGCTAAAATTAACTTTTAAAATTTTATTTTAGTAATTATTATTGGAAATTTTAAATCTGGAGTATAGATCTAATTAATTAGATCTGGAGGTAAGATCTAATTAATTAGATCTAAAGGTAACATCTCAATTTTAGTCTAATTGATTAGATTTAGTGTTTAAATTTACTTCATTAGATCTGTATTTAAGATCTGGAGTTCAGATCTAATAAATTAGATCTGATTCATTAGATTTGGCGTTCAGATCTCATCATTAGATCTGGAGTTCAGATCTAATCATTCGATTTAGAGTTTAGATCTTACTCATTAGATTTAGAATTTGGATCTTACTCATTAGATTTAGAATTTGGATCTAATTCATTAGATCTGGAGTTTATATCTAATTCATTAGATCTGGAGTTTAGATCTAATTCATTAGAATGGGAGTTAAAATCTGGTGTTTAGATCCAATTTATTAGATCTGGAATTAAGATCTGTTTTATTGGATCTGTAGTTAAGATCTTATTAATTAGATTTGGGGTTTAGATCTGATTTGTTGTATCTAAAATTGACATCTAATTTATTAGATCTGGTATTAAGATCCAATTCATTAGATCTAAATCGTTAAATCAGCTATTTAGATCTAATAAATTAGATCTTGATATTGCGATCTAATCAATTAGATCTTGATATTGAGATCTAATTAATTAGATCTTATTTTTATTATATTCAATACTAAAATCTAATTTTTTTAAACTAATATTCAGATCTAATTACTAAATTGGATCTAACCAATAAAATGTAAGCAATAAAATATTTTTTTAATAAAGTCGAACGATAAAAAATTTATTGCAAGAATTTTTCAAAGAAACTACTAATAACATCTAATTATTTTTTTTATGGAAGCGTTAGAATGATTAATGGAATTTTTGCCGGTCTAATAAAAAAGGGTCATTAATTTAACCGTAAGTCTAGTTACTAATTACTAACACTATCATCAAGTGATTCATACCCAAAAAAAAAAACGGCAATTAAAAACTAAGTAGTGATATAAATAAATGTTGAGTGATAGTAAATAAAATATTTTTATATTTTTTTTTCTCTACAAATGCCGATAATTTAAAACATTTTTTTAGAGAGTTGATATCTAAAGCAGGAAGGAAATTATGGTGGTGGAAGTGAAATGCATAGACGGTGTACGTGAAAGTGACAGAAATAATGTGCGAAGTTTACCAGAGACATGTTTTATTACTGTGTGAATGTGTGTATATATATGTGTGTGTTGTTAAAAAGAACAAAACAGATTGTGACTGTGGCGAGACGAAATAATACAATATAATGATAATTATATATAAGTGAGTACTTCTATCCAGTGTAGCGAGCAGAGTAGTATGGACCAATGCTATATTATTGTCACGAAACAGGAAATGAGATATTGTAAAAGCGAGAGTTATTTTTAAAATTAACGGAAATTATATTTTTATTCATTTCATTTTATCAAAATTTATATCTTTTTTATTTTTAGCTAAATTTTTTTTAAAAGATTTTTTTTATTTCTTCACTCCGTTGTTCCAAAAAATCTCTCCCAATTTTTTACTGTGCACAATTAAGGACAGGGTATTTTAACAAATATATTGAAAACTATTGCCATTTTTAACGATATAATCTCATCCCGATGTTATACTCATCACGACCTTTCATTTGAGTACCCACATCAATTTTTCATATATTTTATATATTTATATATATTATATATATGTATATATAAAACATATATGAAAAATTGATGTGGGTACTTAAATGAAAGCTCTTGATAAGTGTAACATCAAAATGAGCTTATATCTTTAAAAACGTCAATATTTAAGAAAGTACAGTGCAATTCAACGTAATTCATTATTTAATAAAGCAAAAGTTTATTAAAGAAATACAGTGAATAATTATGACTACCATCATTACAAAAGTAATAAAAAATTGTACCTACTTAAGAGTAATGAATATTAATTAAAAAAAAAAAAAATTGCGTAAACAAAATACCTCGTTATTCAAATACCATCTCAAAGACTAAATCCAGAGCATAAAAACCTAAAGAAATTAGTATAATTACGATCAAAGCAAATGCATCAGAGCAAGCAGTTAAATAACAACTAAAAAGGAAAAAAAACTCATTGCACTAGTTGATACAATACAATGTACAGTAGTACGTACTGAGTAGTTACCTCAGTTTGGACTATCCACCATTGCAAACTATCGTATATATATATATATATATATATATCGTACACAAACTAACGGTTCGCGATGTACAATTACTGCATAAAGAAAACGGTTTCGTCTCTTGATTTTTTTTCCGTCTTCATTTCTTCCCTGTTACGTACTTACTCGCGATACAGTTTAACTCTCATAAAAAATGCGTGTATATATTGCATACACCGACATTTATTGTATTGCACGCATGCCAGGTTTCAGGGTATTTGCCGTTTACGTAAAAAATAAATTTAAAAAAGATTGTTTGAATTAACCGAGCAATTCTGAACTCATAACCGACATTCTCAATTCTTAATAAAAATTAATGAAAATAAAATAAAAAGGAAAACTTGAATTATTATTTTAATAGAACTCTAGACTGGTGTTAGTTATAATGCAAATTAAATTGTATACTATTATTACCGTGGATAAGTAAAGGAAGTACAAGTTACAAGTGTCGATGGTA